AGTAAGCTCTTGGGGTGTGCGACCTACCGTTAGAAAGTTCTTCAAGTCTAGTTTCCAACGCAATTTGAATCGCTTCAATCCAATGTGCATATCAAAAGGTATGGCTGAAAGAGTGAATAAGACTCGATTTAAGGCCTTCTACGAGCTTCAAGCTTTCTTGTCTCAAGCTTCTTAGCTTCTTCCTTAGCTTCAATCTTCTTCTATTGAACTTTCTTGCCTTCTCTCGGGTCATAAGAATCGAAGAAAGCTTCAAGCACCTACACAAATAGACCAAGAGAGAAAAGAGTGAAAGAACACATAGAAAAACATGCAAATCAAGCTAGTAACCGAGCAAAAAGCATATTATGCACAACTAAGGCCTAAAACCATAAACTAAGACAAATATAACTAAAACAAGAGTAAAAGGAATAGAAATAACAAAGAAACACCAAAATAAACCTAAAACTAAGGGAGAAAAACGCCCTAATATGTGTCATAAATGACACTTATCACAGACCCGCAAGGCCGCGCCCGCGGGTAAAAGGGCCGCGTCCGCGGGTTTTCCTGTCCGCGCCCGCGGGTCCAAGGGTTTCGCCCGCGGGTAAGGAGGCCGCGACCTCTCCCTGGAATCTCCAAGGAATCTCCAGTTTCTAAAATTTCTGAAGAGCAACTGGCCACGCCTGCGGGATGTAGTGTTGCGCCCGCGGCTTTTGACTATCCGCGCCCGCGACTGTGGATGTTGCGCCCCCTCAAGGGCATCTCCAAGGAAACTCTAGTTTGTTTCTAATTTCGAAAGGATGCCTGCCCGCGCTGCGGGTCAAAGGGCCGCGGGTCTTGATGGAGAGCCCTCTCTTGGGCATCTCGAGAAACACAAATAACTCCTTAAGACTTGAGATTAAAAATCCAATTTCAATCTTCTCCTTCAATTCATCACTCCTCCTTAACACCTCCAATCTCGAATTTGTAGACCAAATGCCCAAAGATTCGAATACCTACAAGAAGAACAAAACACACACAATAAGATTCTAATGAGAAATCACCCAAGATTGACTACATAAAAGAAATACAAGACAAAAAGAGTTTGAGAACTCGAGTTGCCTCCCGAGAAGTGCTTCTTTATGAGGGCATTAGCTTGACCATAATAACCATCATCAAAAAGGTCATTAGCCCCATGGATCAAGCCTCATGCACTCAATTAGGCCAACTTGATCATTGCAAAGGTAATGCTTCAAACGATGGCCATTAACCATGAACTTGTTTCCTTCCGCTTCCAACTCAAAGGACCCGTAAGGAGTAGTCCTCGAAATCGTGAAAGGCCCTGACCACTTGGACTTTAACTTTTCGGGAAACAAACAAAGCCTAGAGTTGAATAACAACACCTTGTCTCCAACCTTGAAGCTCTTGTTCCTTATATACTGGTCGTGCCATTTCTTAGTTCTCTCCTTGTAAAGCCTCGAGTTCTCGTAGGCGTTATATCGGAGCTCCTCAAGTTCATTGAGCTTAAGCAATCTCTTTTCACAGGCCAACGACATATCCATGTTAAGCTCTTTGATTGCCCACCAAGCTTTATATTCTAACTCAACCGGCAAATGACAAGCCTTCCCATAGACCAACCGGTAGGGGGTGGTACCAATTAGGGTCTTGTATGCCGTCCGTAAGGCCCAAAGTGTGTCGTCAAGCTTGAGAGACCAATGTTTTCTAGACTTGTTCACCATCCTTTCGAGAAGGTTCTTGATCTCTCTATTTGACAGCTCCACTTGCCCTTGAGTTTTAGGGTGGTAAGGGAGACCAACCTTGTGATGAACCCCATATCTCTTGAGAAGAGTTGTTGCTTTTTTTGCAAAATGAGAACCTCCATCACTGATTAGCACCCTAGGAACCCCAAACCACGGAAATATGATTTTAAGAAGCTTAAGCACAACATTGTGGTCGTGGGTGGGGGAGGGTATAGCTTCAATCAACTTGGTCACATAGTCCACCGCCACCAAGATATATAGATTTCAACAAGAAGGGACAAAAGGCCCAATGAAGTCGACACCCCAAACATCGAATGGCTCCACCTCCAAAATTTTTTGTTGAGGCATCTCATCCCTTTTGGTTATGCCTCCACTTCTTTGCAATTTGTCACACCTTGAAACGAACTTATGGGCATCCTTATGCATCATTGGCCACCATAGGAGAGATTGAGAAATCTTTGCCACCGTCTTGTCAACTCCTCCACGTCCTCCACACGGTAATGAGTGGCAATGTTCAAGAACTCCTTTGATCTCATGGTCCGGAACACATTTCCAAAAGAGGCCATCTCCACATTGCTTGAACAAGTAGGGGTAATTCCAAAAGTACCTCCTCACTTCCTTGAAAAAACCGTTTTTTTTGTTGAGAAGAGAGCTCCGGAGGGACGACTCCAAAAGCAAGATAGTTGGCTATGTCCGCGTACCACGGGCTAGATGTTGAAGCCATAGCCATGAGACTTTCAAACCCCACCTCTTCATTGATCGGCACATCCTCCTTATTCTCAAAAGGAAGCCTAGACAAATGATCCGCCATAAAGTTCTCCGCTCCCTTTTTATCCCTCATCTCCATGTCAAAGTCTTGGAGCGAAAGAACCCAGCGAATAAGACGTGGCTTAGCTTCCTTCTTGGTCATAAGATAGCAAACCGCTATATGATCCGTGTACACAATCACTTTGGAGCATAAGAGATAGGACCTAAATTTGTCCATTGCAAACACAATCGCAAGCATTTCCTTCTCTATCGTTGTGTAATTCTTTTGAGCCTCATCAAGCGTTCGACTTGCATTGTAGATGACATGAGATCTTCCTTCCTTATTTTGCCCAAGCACCGCACCTACTACAAAATCACTTGCATCGCACATTAGCTTAAAAGGCAAGCTCCAATTCGGAGCTTGCACAACAAGAGTGGAGATGAGAGCTTCCTTGAGTTTTTGAAATGCCTCAAGACAAGCCTCATCAAAGTTGAACACAACACCTTTCTTGAGTAATTCGGTCAAAGGTTAGGCGATTGATGAAATTTTTTTGATAAACCTCCGGTAAAAACCGGCATGCCCTAGAAATGCTCTCACTCCCGTAACGGAAGTAGGAGGGGGCAATTTGGTAATCACCAAAACCTTGGCCGAATCAACTTCAATGCCCCTTTTTGATACTTTATGGCCTAGGACAATACCTTCCTCGACCATAAAATGGCATTTCTCCCAATTTAAAACCAAACTCGTCTCTTGACATCTTTTCAAAACTTTGTCAAGATTATAAAGACATGTGTCAAAAGACAAGCCACCAACACTAAAATCTTCCATGAAAACCTCAATCTCATTTTCATGCATTTCAGAAAAAATGGAAGTCATGCATTGTTGGAAAGTTGAAGGAGCATTGCATAACCCGAATGGCATTCTTCGGTATGCGAATGTTCCATATGGACAAGTAAAAGTGGTTTTCTCTTGATCATTTGGACAGATAAGGATTTGGAAAAAGCCGGAATATCCATCCAAGAAGCAAAAGAAAACATGATGGGAGAGTCTCTCCAACATTTGGTCCATGAAGGGGAGAGGAAAATGGTCTTTCTTTGTATTTTTGTTTAACCTCCTATAATCAATGCACATCCTCCACCCGATCACCGTCCGGGTGGAGATTTCCTCTCCTCCTTCTCCCTTGACAATGGTCATTCAACCTTTCTTTTGGAACCACGTGAACCGGGCTAACCCACTTGCAATCGGAGATAGCATAAATTATGCCCGCTTCACGCAATTTTAGGATTTCTTTTTTGACAACCTCTTGGAGGTTGGGGTTCAACCTCCTTTGAGGCTCAATTAAGTTGGATTGAACATCCTCAAGGTGAATACGATGCATGCACAAAGAAGGGCTAATTTCCTTAATATCATCAATGCTATACCCTATCACATCTCTATATTTTCTCAACACATCAAGCAATTTTTCCAAATCAAGCCCATCAAGGGTAGCATTGACAATAATAGGGTATTCCCCTTCATTTCCAAGATAAGCATATTTAAAATATGGGGGAAGGGTTTTGAGTTCTACCTTGGGAGGAGGCTTGGAACTCTCTGGTACGACTGTCGCGTGTCTACTAAAAATAAACCTAACTCTAACCTCCTAAAAATGTAGTAGGGTAAGCCAAGGTCGATCCCACAGAGAATTGGATTATCAAATTATAACTTATGTATGTTAGAAATCCCTGTTTTAAAGATGGACTTAAATGATCTAAAATATAAACTATGGACTCAAAAACAAAATGAGTACGGAGAAATAAAACTGACAAAATTAAATGATCAAAATCAAGAATGACAAAATAGGGATCGTGAGATATATTATAGCATTGGAATATAAACTGTTCATTGAATTACATAAATTATGCATATATCTTGATGTTAACTAATGAACACCGACTAGAATCCAAAACTTCCCTTAAGTGCAAATAAACCAAACAAGTTCTTGGAATATTGTCTAACTAACTAACAATCTAGAGCAAGCTCTCTAGACTCGATTAATTAGTAGCATTAATAATTAGGAAGTAGCTAACTTAAGCAACAAATCTCGCAAGCTCGGATTCGTGCAACTTAAAGGGTTGGTAATCATAAGCATCAGACAAGTTTTAGTCACCTATCAAATATCTAAGTGCTACTAAGGAGTACTAACCGGACAATTACGAATCACAAGATAATACTCTAGCAATTAAACTAACAAATTATACTAAAGATGGCCGGTCTGTAATATAATCTAACAGTTCATACCAATAAAACAGAATACCAATCCAATCAAGAAATAAACATACTACTGTCAAAGTACCCACATTCTTATTCTCACAACACAATAATCTAATGTATAATATAACTCCGTACCCGTATTAAATCTAGCCTGACATACACAAAACTTAGATAATAACAATGGAAGATATATAAATCATATTTCTTAAAGAATATAAGAAAATGAAAGTTAACAACTATAAATCAATACTTGAAACTACCACCTAACATGATAAAAACAGAACAAATAAAACAAAAATAAACTAGCAAATTTTATTGCTTAATTGAACCAATTCATCAACTGCTAAAGTACTACATGCAAAATTGCAAACTAACAGTTGAATTCATAGTACCAATTTCCTAGAATTGAGAAGGGAAAAGAGCCACGAACAACCAACCTAGAAAACCGAAGTAACACCTCTGAATTCCCGTAGAAAATGAAGGATTACAGAGCACCGCTAAGTCGCCTCGACTTCTCCGTCCTCCACTTTACTTCACCGTCGCTGCTCTGCTACTTTGCAGTAGCTTCGCGAGCCCAGAACACAACCCCAGCCAAGCCTCGTTCTCTGTTCTTCACTGCTGCCCAGAAGGTTGCCTCTTATCACCTGCAGTTCGGCCTCCCCCCTGTTTTCGGTGTAGCTCATCTCTAGCTAATCCGAGTTTCTCGCTTCAATTTTTATCCCCTTTCATCTTTATCTCTTGCTTGACATTTCAATCCCAGAAATTTCGCTCCAGGTGGTTTGTTTTGTGTGTTAAAGGCAATAACAGTGAGCCAAGAAGAGTTTCGAGCTCTTTGACATATTGTTATATTCTAAGCCCAACTATAAATGTTTACCCAGTAAAATAATTTTGGGCTTGAAATACTTGAGAGTACCACTTGCAATTTGCTTCTCTTAACTGAAAGTGTCGTAAAATGCAATTTGTACCAATACTTTCTTTCCTACACACAAATAAATAAAATAGTAGTAGTACGTGTCTCGGGAAGAAAATTACTTAATATACCATTAAACCATTAAATATCGATATAAAATCAAGAGTTTAATAGATATAAATATTATATTTTATGACTCTATCAAACTCCCCCAAGCTATAGTTTTGCTTGTCCTCAAGTAAAGACATGAAATTACAGAGAATTTAGAATTTTGCTATAACAATATGCACCCTGACATGTTACAATTACACCACTCTTGCTCGATTACACTCTAAGCCAAGTATATTGACACGTCAAAACCAACTAAGCATTCTATTATAATCACTCTACTTTGCTCAATAACAGCGTCAAGTCAAGTATATATGCAGGAGGAAAATCATTTTATGATTACAAAATCAATTACCAACTCTTAAAACAATTACAGCCTACCTTCTGTCAACACTATAGTGGAGTAAATCAAAGATCCTCAGGACTTGAATCAAGGATAGAACAGGACCAAGGTAAAGTGAGGTTTTAGAGAACATTTCGGAATGTGGGAAGAAGAATTAAGATTAGCAAAGCATATATACAAAACCACAACCGCCATATAAGAACTCATATCACAGGCCCTTCAAACATCGATTTTTTTTATTTTTTATTTTTTATTTTTATTTTTTTTTACTTGTGTTTCACGACTATTAATGTCATGTACATGTCAAGTAACCCATGTAGTGAGCTTTCAACCAGTGACTCCCGATCCAGTTGGCCCAAGGCACTAGGTTTTAAAATACCCATACGGATTTACTAACTCGAGTTACTCAATCACGATACATAAAACATCACACGTACTTATATGGGTTCTTTATATATATATATATATATATATATATATATATATATATATATATATATATATATATATATATATATATATATATATATATATATATATATATATATATATATATACAACTTATACATTGGTACGTAGAGCCTTTAACATTAAACTTTTAAAACTATAACCTTCACCACCAATTTACATCATTACCACAAAGATAGTCCAATTCACCCTTCAATGTGCTGTACTAATCTTATCGGTAAATATTTCATGTTTCAGACATTTCGCAAGAAAAGTAGGTCTATAAAGCTCAATTCGGGTTTAACAATGAATCATGTCATGGGTAAGCTTTTTGGCTTATATAGTGTAAAGATTTGATGCCTAACTCATTTCTTTCTTTTTACCCCACCACAAGCTGACTTCCACCAGGTTAGCTATTGTTTACAGAATCAATTTTTCAAATTATTTTTTATTTTATTTTTTTTCTGCATATATACAAGTCTATTAGCCAAAGTTAAGCATTGTAGAGTGAATGTAATGTTCATATGCAATGCACTGTCTAAATTTCATTATTAGACTCGATATAATACCATGCCACAACAGAGACATACCAAGAGACTGCAAGAGACTGAACATAACGTATTCCCCCCAAGCTTAATCCACACATTTCCCTCAATGTGTGACTGTAAAAAAAATAAGGGGATACAAATAGAAAGAGACAAGGAAACAAGCTCACCGGATGAGTTGAATATTGTAGGGTACTGCCTATGTAAACAGCCTGATAGTATCCCCCCAAGCTTGGACTTTCTCACGAAGTCTTGCTGTAAACACATTGGAGATGCTCAACCGCCCATTCAATCTTACGATGTCAGATAATGGTAGCAAATGTATGTGCTCCCTTAAATGTGTCCGGGTGAAGTTTCTTGGATGAGTGACTGTATATCTAGCCTGATGGTATCCCCCAAGCTTGAATATGTTCATATTTTCTTGCTGCAAACATTTTTGGATATAAGCAGGTGTTGTATCAGCGCAGCTTTAACTTCACCATTGGGTCCAGCCAATCCCACTGTCCTGCAACAACTAATTCCAAATAAAAACATAATTAGTTTCCCGAATATTATAGGGGGCTTAAAAATAGGAGCAAACAAAATATCTGAGCTGAATTTATATATATATATATGTATGTATATATATATATACATATATATATATATACATATATATATATACATATATATATATACATATATATATATATATACATATATATATATATATACATATATATATATATATATACATATATATATATATATACATATATATATATATATATGTATATATATATATATATATATATGTATATATATATATATATAACAGAGCAATAAAATTGAAAAAATGACGATAAAATAAATTAAAAAAAATTATTATCAGAAAATATTCCTATGCTTGGGCTGCCTCCCAAGAGCGCTTTATTTATCGTCGTTAGCTCGACGTCTTCCAGCATACTAGTCTTCATAATGTGGAGCTTCTAGCTCCACCACTTCAAGGTTCTAGACCTGATAACCCTCATAGTAAGGCTTTAGTCGATGACCGTTCACCTTGAATTCCTTCCCTGTGTCCTCACTACAAATCTCCACCGCACCATGGTCATATACCTTGGTAACAACGAACGGCCTACCCATCTAGAATGGAGTTTGCCAGGAAAGAGTTTGAGTCGAGAATGATACAGGAGAACTTTTTGCCCAACTGTAAATGCCTTTCGTGTGATACGCTGATCATGGAATGCCTTAGTCTTTTCCTTGTACATTCTCGCATTCTCGAAAGCATCATTCCGAATTTCCTCCAGTTCTTGCAATTGAAGTTTCCTGTGCTCACCCGCTGCAACCATTTCCATATTACATTGTTTCACAGCCCAAAAGGCTTTGTGTTCCAATTCTACGGGCAGATGGCAAGGTTTACCAAACACGAGCCTGTAAGGAGACATCCCGATCGGAGTTTTATACGCTGTTCTGTACACCCACAGAGCATCGTTGAGGCGGAGACTCCAATCTTTCCTATTTGGATTCACAGTCTTCTCTAGAATGGACTTGATTTCTCGATTGGAAACTTCTGCTTGTCCATTTGTTTGTGGGTGATACGCAGTGGATACTCGATGAAACACATTATACTTCTTCAAGAGAGCTCCTATTGTCTTATTGCAAAAGTGTGTTCCATTGTCATTGATGATGGCTCTTGGGAATTCGTATCTTGCAAAAATATTTGATTTCAAAAATTCTGCAACAACTTTAGAATAATCAGTACGGGTGGCTATAGCTTCCACCCATTTCGAGACATAATCGACGGCAAGCAAAATATATTGAAAACCAAAAGAAGAGGGGAAGGGTCCCATGAAATCCATACCCCAAACGTCAAAGATTTCACATATTAAGATAGGAGTTTGAGGCATCTCATTCCTAGGACCTAGTGTACCTGTTCTTTGACAACTATCACATGCCTTACAGAGTTCGTATGCATTTTTAAATATGGATGGCCAGTAGAATCCACTCTCTAAAACCTTGCGTGCGGTTCTCTTTGGTCCAAAATGTCCCCCACAAGCATAAGAATGGCAGAAAGTTAGTATAGAAAGAATTTCAGAATCAGGTACGCACCTTCTGATCAGTTGATCAACACAATATTTCCAGAGGTATGGGTCATCCCATATGTAGTATTTTGCTATACTTCGCATCCGGTCCTTCTGTGCTTTGGTGTAGCTGGCTGGAAACTTCCCTTCATCAGCTTCAATAACTAACCTGCTCAAATGATCAGCAACACTATTGTCAGAACCTTTTTTATCTTTTATTTCAACATTAAATTGTTGAAGCAATAATATCCAACGTATTAGCCTAGGTTTGGATACATCTTTTGACCACAGATATTTCAGTGTTGCATGGTCAGTAAACACAACAATTTTAGTACCCAATAAATAAGACCTGAATTTGTCTAAAGCAAAAACTAAAACTAAAAGTTCTTTCTCAGTTGTAGTATAATTAGCTTGAGCCACATCCAAAGTCCTTAAGGCATAGTAGATGGCATGGGGAACGTTTCCAACTCACTGGCCTAGCACTGCCCCTATAGCATAATTAGAAGTGTCGCACATCAGCTCAAATGGGAGCTCCTAGTTAGGAGGTTGTAGAACAGGGGCAGTGACCAACTTGTCTTTCAGCTTGTCAAATGCCTGCTTACAGGCCTCATCAAAGTGGAACTCCACATCCTTTTGGAGTAGTCTGCATAGTGGTTGTGCGATCTTCGAGAATCCTTCAATAAACCTGCGATAGAACCCTGCATGGCCAAGAAAAGATCGAACTTCCCGCACAGAGGCGGGGCAAGGCAGAGAAGAAATAAGATCTATTTTAGCTTTATCAACTTTTATTCCTTCAGACGATACAATATGGCCTAAAACTATACCTTGTTGAACCATTAAATGACATTTTTCAGAATTAAGCACAAGGTTAGTTTCAAGACAACATTTAAGGACCAAAGTGAGGTGTTCTAAACATCTATCAAAAGAATCTCCATGTACAGTGAAATCATCCATGAAAACTTCTATGAAATTTTCAAGGTAATCTGAAAAGATGCTTACCATACATCTCTGAAAAGTTGCTGGAGCATTGCACAGTCCAAATGGCATACGATGATACGCAAATGTGTCGTACGGGCATGTGAACGTCGTTTTTTCTTGATCCTCCGGAGTTATAGGGACCTGCACATATCCTGAAAAACCATCAAGAAAACAGTAATAAGCATGACCAGCAAGACGCCCTACCATTTGATCAATAAAAGGTAGGGGAAAATGATCTTTTTGAGTCATAGAATTAAGTTTTCTATAGTCTACACAAACTCTCCACCCATTTTGAACTCGGGTGGGAACCATTTCTCCCTTATCGTTTTCTACCACTGTGACTCCTGATTTTTTTAGGACCACTTGCAAGGGGCTGACCCAAGGGCTATCTGATATAGGGTATATCACCCCCCTACTTCAAGAAGCTTCATTACTTCTTTCTTCACCACTTCCATCATAGGTGGATTAAGTCGTCGCTGCACTTGTCTCACGGGTTTAGCTCCCTCTTCTAATAAGATTATATGCTGACACATAGAGGAGCTAATTCCTTTTATATCAGCAACCGTCCACCCTAGAGTTGTTTTATGCTCCTTCAGAACTTGCACCAGCTTTTTCTCTTGATTCGGAGTCAGATTACTCGCGATTATAACTGGCAGAGTGTCATTTTCTCCCAAAAATGCATACTTGAGATGGTCTGGCAGTGGCTTTAGTTCCACTTCAGGAGCCTGTACAATAGAAGGTAATAATATGTTAGAAGTGACATGTAACTGCATAAACCGTTTGTCATACCTTGACTGCTTATCGGGAAGTATTTCCAGAAAGGAAAAAGCTTCCGTAACTTCCCCCTTAAGCTCAAAATGTTCCTGCAAGACAGTATACTTTTCTTTTTCCATAGGCGCAGTCAAAACAACATCTAACCCATCATGACCATAAAGAAAAAATACCTGTTCAGTTAGTGCATCAATGACATCTATACTAGAAACAAATTCACAATCAGAGGGTGTCTCATGGCATCAAATAAATTAAACCGGATAACCTCCCCATCGAATTCCATGGTCAACACCCCAATGTTAACATCAATTTTAGTTCTAGATGTTTTCTCAAAAGGTCTTCCTAATAAGATAGGTGATGCACTAGGGGATTCATCATTTGGCATATCTAAAACATAAAAGTCAGCAGGAAATAACAGTTCATTCACTTTCACTAAAACATCCTTAACTACTCCTACAGGGTATGTATTAGAACGGTCAGCAAGCTGAATAATCACTTGAGTGTCTTTCAAAGGTCCTAAGTTCAGAGCTTTATAGATATATAAAGGCATGACATTAATAGAAGCTCCTAAGTATCTCGTGTTACCTATTTTACATGGTATAGTAAATTACCTGGATCCTTGCACTTTGGAGGAACTTTCCTCTGTAAAACAGAAAACACATTCTCACTTACACTGACTTTTTCATCTCCACTCAATCTCCTCTTGTTAGTGCATAACTCCTTCAAAAACTTTGCATACCGCGACACTTGTCTTATAGCTTCTAGTAAAGGTATGTTTACCTCAACCTTGCGAAAAATGTCCAGGGTCTCTTTCTCCTTTTCTTGCTCTCTTCTTATTCTTAGATGATAACTTGCTAGGAAATGGAACAGAAGAAGTAAACTGATCAGTATTAGGAGAAACAACATCTCTTACCTTAGTGGACTGCTTATCTTGCTCTGGAACAATAGTTTCTTGTTCCTCTTGGTGTGCTGCCAACCCTTCAGTCTTTTTCGTTGGAACCTCTAATTGCTTGCCACTTCTCAGGGAGATTGCACTCGCATTCTCTTTTGGATTTCTCTCTAGTTGACTCAGAAGCTTGTTAGCTAACTGAGAAACTCGGTTCTCCAAATTCTTTAAACCACTTCTTGTCTCTTGCTGGAAATGCAAAGTGTTGTCAGCCATTGCCTTCGCAATATCTTCCAGAGACATGCTATCAGATTATGGCTGGGAAACTTGCTGATATTGAGGTCGCGGCTGATATTGTGGTTGCTGATGAAACCCAGGTGGAGGATTAGAAGCTTGTTGTTGTTGGAAAGCTAGTGGTCTGCGGTTAGAGTTGCCTGCCTACTGCTGAGCATTACCATATCTCAGGTTTGGATGATCTCTCCACCCCGGATTATAAGTATGAGAGAATGGATCATAACGTCTTTGCTGCCCCTGACCACCACCAATTGAATTCGCTTCTTCTTCTTGCAGAGTAGGACACATATCAGTTGGGTGTCCTACCATTGAACAAAGGCCACATACTTTTTATTGCCCTTTTTCGATCATTACTCGCTCCACTAAGGAAGTGAGTTTAGCTACTTGTTGCTCAAGGTTAGAACTCACCACTTCATTAACTTGACGTACAGAAGTGGACTTGATATTTCGACCTCCTCGATACTGAGAGTTTGCAACCATGTTTGCAATCACTTTCTTTGCCTCTGCGGGTGTTTTGTCAACCAGTGCTCCACCACTAGCTGCATCAACTAGATTCCTGTCTGTCTCCCTGAGTCCCTCGTAAAAGTACTGTATTAATAATTGCTCACTGATTTGATGGTTTGGACAACTATCACATAGTTTCTTGAAACGCTCCCAGTACTCATGAAGTGTCTCTGCATCGTCTTGTCGAATTCCACATATTTCTTTCCTGGTATTGGCTATCAAAGATGCTGGAAAATATCTTTCTACGAATACTTTTAGCATTTGATCCCATGTTGTGATGGTTCCAGTAGGTACTTCAAATAACCACTCCTTGGCAGCATCAGACAAGGCAAAAGGAAATGCCTTTAACTTGAGTTTGTCGAGGGTTACACCAGCTGGTTTCATCCCCGCACATGCTATGTGAAATTCCTTCAAAAATCTTATAGCCTCATTCATGTGAACTGAACCCAAGGAGTTAGTATTACGGAAACCTGAAAATGTGGGAAGAGCTCTAATCAACCCAGGCTTGATCTCAATTTCTGCCTCATCAACTACTATGCACAATAAATTTGGATCAAACGTTGGAGCTGCAAGCTGCTTTAGTGTTTGATCACCCATCTTAAAAATTACATTCACCCTCCTCGTCCGAAGATGAACTTTCACTGTGAGGTAACGGAATATGACGAGCTTGCTCCAGTATATGAGCACGAGTCCTTTTAGCTACAAGAAGAGTAGAAAAACGATGAATTATAAGTCCCTGGTTCCTTGCCGCAAAATTTCTCAATATTTGATGTTTCAAATTTCTATCACACATACTAGAACAAGGAACTAGGTGACAAGTTAGTAAGAACAGTTAGAAAAACACAAGTAATAAAAAAATAAAATGCCAATTCCCCGGCAACGGCGCCGAAATTTGGTACGACTGCCGCGTGTCTACCAAAAATAAACCTAACTCTAACCTCCTAAAAATGTAGTAGGGTAAGCCAAGGTCGATCCCACAGAGAATTGGATTATTAAATTATAACTTGTGTATGTTAGAAATCCCTGTTTTAAAGATGGACTTAAATGATCTAAAATAAAAACTATGGACTCGAAAACAAAATGAGTACGGAGAAATAAAACTGACAAAATTAAATGATCAAAATCAAGAATGACAAAATAGGGATCGGGAGATATATTATAGCATTGGAATATAAATTGTTCATTGAATTACATAAATTATGCATATATCTTGATGTTAACTAATGAACACCGACTAGAATCCAAAACTTCCCTTAAGTGCAAATAAACCAAACAAGTTCTTGGAATATTGTCTAACTAACTAACAATCTAGATCAAGCTCTCTAGACTCGATTAATTAGTAGCATTAATAATTAGGAAGTAGCTAACTTAAGCCACAAATCTCACAAGCTCGGATTCGTGCAACTTAAAGGGTTGGTAATCATAAGCATCGGACAAGTTTTAGTCACCTATAAAATATCTAAGTGCTACTAAGGAGTACTAACCGGACAATTACGAATCACAAGATAATACTCTAGCAATTAAACTAACAAATTATACTAAAGATGGCTGGTAGAAAATAAAGTAACACCTCTGAATTCCCGTAGAAAATGAAGGATTACAGAGCACCGCTAAGTCGCCTCGACTTCTCCGTCCTCCACTTTACTTCACCGTCGCTGCTTTGCTACTTTGCAGTAGCTTCGCGAGCTCAGAACACAACCCCAACCAAGCCTCGTTCTCTGTTCTTCACTGCTGCCCAGAAGGTTGTCTCTTATCACCTGCAATTCGGCCTCCCCCCTGTTTTCGGTGTAGCTCATCTCTAGCTAATTCGAGTTTCTCGCTTCAATTTTTATCCCCTTTCATCTTTATCTCTTGCTTGACATTTCAATCCCAGAAATTTCGCTTCAGGTGGTTTGTTTTGTGTGTTAAAGGCAATAATAGTGAGCCAAGAAGAGTTTTGAGCTCTTTGACATATTGTTATATTCTAAGCCCAACTATAAATGTTTACCCAGTAAAATAATTTTGGGCTTGAAATACTTGAGAGTACCACTTGCAATTTGCTTCTCTTAACTGAAAGTGTCGTAAAATGCAATTTGTACCAATACTTTCTTTCCTACACACAAATAAATAAAATAGTAGTAGTACGTGTCTCGGGAAGAAAATTACTTAATATACCATTAAACCATTAAATATCGATATAAAATCAAGAGTTTAATAGATATAAATATTATATTTTATGACTCTATTACTCTCCTCCAATTTTCCGTCTGCTAGTTCGAGCTCATCATCCCTAGGATCCTCCTCTTCCTCATTTTTGGCTTCTTCAATGGCCATGACAAACTCTTTTGCTTCTTGAGAGTGGTACTCTTCCTCGCATGTAAGAGCTTCAACCATTGGATCTTGAGGGCTCATCATAACCCTTCCCAAGCGATCTAATTCTTCATTCACAACATCAACCCTATAGCACTTCTCAACCATGGGGGTCTTGAGTAGCTTAGAGAACTCAAAAACAATTTTTTCATCGACTACCTCACATGTAATGGTGTTGTTCTTGCAATTGATCACCACCCCTAAGGTCTTGAGAGCTTCACGACCCAAAATCAAGGGATTATCGACATCCTCCTCCATATCCATCACTACGAAATCACAAGGCACATATATATGTCGAACTTGGATAGGAACTTCTTCAAGCTCACCACAAGGAACCTTCACCGAACGGTCGGCCAATTGGATGGTCTTCCTTGTAGGGATCATCTCAATGTTAAGCTTTTGAGCAATGGATAGGGGGATCAAGCTAACACTTGCTCCAAGATCGGCTAAGGCGCCCTTAGCTTCCATGTTCCCAATCTTTACCGTCAAAGTAAAGCTTCCCAAATACTTTTTCTTCTTGGGCATCTTATGTTGAACAAGTGCACTCAGTTGATGGGGGAGAGTGATAAGCTCATCATTAAGCTTCTTTTTGTTGGTGAGAATATATTTCAAGAACTTGGAGTATGAAGGCATTTGTGTGACAACTTCAATAAAAGGGAGGTTTATGTGCAAGTTCTTCATCACACTAAGGAACCTTGCAAATTTGTCATTCAACTTCCTCTCCTCAAGTCGACCAGGAAAGGGAACCGGTCGACTAAGATTTCTAGCCTCACTAGAAGTTAAATATGTCACCACATCTTTAGACTTCTTTTCCTCCATACTTCTCTCTTTCTCAACAACTTTCTCTTCTTCAACTTCTTTGTCTTGACTCACGCTCTCTTCTCCTTCCTTTTTGTTCTCACTATCCTCATCCTTGGGACCCTCATAGGACGTACCCAATCTCAATGTGATTGCCTTGCAAGAGTCGGGTTTTACAATATTGGAAGGGTTAGTTTGTGATTGTCTAGGTAGGGTGGAAGGTGAGTTAAAAGGAACTCTCTAGGCCAATTGTGTTAGTTGTGAATCAACCATCTTGTTATGAGCCTTGACCTCTTGCATTTGTTGATTCATGGCTTGAAGTTGTTGAAGAATTTGGGTTTGAGTAGAATCGGGTTGAGATGCTTTCTCTTGACTCCTTTGAATCGCTTGGTTTTGATTGTGGTATTGGTTTTGATTATTGTGTTGGTTGTTTCTTGGGTAGTTTCCTCTTTTGTTTTGGGTTTGGAATGGAGTTGGATTTTGGTATTGGGGGTTGGAGTTGTATGGTTGTTGAGCTTGTTGGCTCCATTGGTGAGATTGGTTTGAAAATCCGGGTGGTGGTGCCTCCAAGCTACTCCACCGCCACTTCCCCTATATCCATCTTGCCTTGTGTTGTATGTCGCTACATGCTCCGGGCTCAAACCTCCACAATAAGATGTATCGTGGTTTGTACCACCACAATTTTGACAAGAGAAGGAGTTGACTTGGGAGGAGCTTGCCCCACTAATAACACTAATATTCAACTTTGCAAGCCCTTTTGTCAAACGCTCAACTTGATGTTGCAATTGATTAACTTTCTCCAATTCATACTTTCCACACTTCTTTGGTGTGTTCCTCATTCTAACACCCCAAGAGTAGTTCTTCACTACCTCTTCAATTGTTTCTTCAACTTGATTTTGAGTGACTTTAATCAATTGGCCACCCGCCCCCGCATCCAAGTTAGCTCTATACATAGGTTCTAACCCATCGTAGAAGAATCTCATGAGCAAGCTTTGATTGTATTCATGATGAGGACATGCTTGTAACAACTCTTTGAATCTTTCCCAAGCTTCACTAAGACTCTCATCCGCTTCTTGTTCAAATGATGCAATCTTCCTTCTCATCTCGGCGGTCTTTTCTTCGGAAATGAACCTCTTCAAGAATGCCTTGACTACCTCCCTCCATGTAGTGAGAGAGTTTGGCTTGACTTGTTTGAGCCACTTCTTTGCCCTATCCGAAAGAGACTGTCGGAATAAGTGCATACAGATTTATTCTTGAGAAACTTGGTTGGTTTGAATCATGGCACAAAGCTCAAGAAATCTATCAAAATGCTCGATAGGATCTTCACTTGGAGAACCCGAAAATTATTCCGCTTGAACCATTCTAGTGTATTGAGGATGGATGGTAATGTTGGTTTCCGTAACGGGTAGCAAAATCCCTCCCGTGAGCTGATAATCCTCGGGATTTCCAAACTCACGAAACAAAACATCATTCTCTTGCCTCGCCAATTCTTCGCTTTGAGAGCTTGAAGACCAAGATTCACTCTCACTATCAAAAATAGCACCAAGACCTCGTCCCTCTTTTCGATAAAGTCTTCGAACTTGTCTCAAAGTGCGGTTGATTTCTTGGTCAATGTAGTGAGTAGGAGGTCCTTGAGATCTCCTTTGCATCCACTAAAGCTAAGCAAACAATTAGCAATGACTAGTAAGAGGGTAAAGGAACAAAATAAAAAGGCAACAAATCCAATAATAACGCAGTAAAAGTGCAAAACAAGCCATTTTCCCGGCAACGGCGCCAAAATTTGATCGGGGGACAATAGGTCGTTACTACTACCCTAGATCAAATATACAATTTTTACTCCTAACCTAACTCTATCAAATTTAGGTGAGATAGTGGCAAGTTAGGGTCGAATCCCAAAGAAACGGGGGTCATGCATTATTACTGTGAAATCTAGAATCTATTGCTAGTGACAAAGGGGATATTATGGTTTGTTTTGAAAAGTTTTATGATTAAAGTATCTATCAAAAGAGACCAAATCAAGCCAAAAATAAGAATGATTAAACTAGACACTCTAAAGTGAAAATGAAAGGCAAAACGAAAGAGATAACAAGGGCAAAAAGCACTAGGGAGAGGGGGTTCCAATCATGAACAACAAGATACTAATGAAAATCAATAAGGATTCATACCAAGGAATACAAACTCTACTCAAAGCAATTCATTCTCATGCAACTACTCAAAGTTAATTGATGAAATTAATCAATCCTAAACTAGATCATTCTCACGCATCTAATCTAGGACTAAGACATTGGGGTAAAAGGTGCACACAATAACTCAAATCATATTTAAGAACAAATCATCAACTCAAGGTAAAACCCAATCAAGGATCAATATAAACTCAAGAAAACATGATTTTCACCCCCTTCCCTAGCTAGAAATCTAAGCTACAGAAAGGAAAATAGCCATGACAACTAAACTAAACATGTATTCATTCCTAACATAACTTAGCATGATTCTAAATCAAAAAGAAGGCAATGAAACAAGTAAAGCTAGGAAATTTATGGAAGAAAACATAAATAAGAACAATAAAACTAAAGATTTGAGAATAGCAAAAATAGATTACTATTATAAATGATGAAGGATTAGCCAAACATGAAATAGTAGCAATAATCTTGAAGAAAGCTTGAATATTTGATTACAAAGATTAAAACTTGAGAACTAGCTATTTTCTCCGTCTACAAGTTGTTTTGGTGTCAATGGAATAGCAGATGATTAAAGATTGAAGCTCAAGACTATTTATAGTCTCCTCTTAAAATGAGGAAATAGGGCAAGGAAGAGGGCTCTCCAAGTAGGCAGCCGCGCCCTCTCCAACATGGGTAAGAAGTTCGCCAGACCCAGATCGCCGCACCCGCGGACCTGATTGCCGCGCCCGCGGGTCTTTGCTGCCGCGCCCGCGGCTGGCCATCTTCCAGCCATCTCCAAAAACTGCCCATTGGCTCAAGATCCCCCCTGTTCGCGCCGCGGCTGTGAGGCCTGCGCCTGAGGATTTATGTAGCAGCACGCCCTCTCCTTTCCAACATCTCCTCTTCCTTTAACAAGCTTCCTTAGCAACTCCACTTCGTCTAGAAATCCAAAATATTTCCACGAGTGCGAGGAGCTATCAAAACACACAAATAGAAGGTAAAAAGTAGAAGAAAAGATAAAAGGAAAGGGAAAACACGAGAGGGAGCTAAAGTAACTAAAATAGGAGTAAAAACGGTAAGAAGAGGTTCAAACAAGTGACAAATCGGGGAAATTCTCTAGTGAAAAAGGGTGAAATGGTGGCATAAGTGCCACTCATCAAAATCCCCCACACTTGTTTCTTGCTTGTCCTCAAGCAAAACAAAGAAAAGAAAGACAAAACAAACACTAGAAAGACAAACACAACGTGGCAAGGCTTAGAAAAGCAATAGAAAATTTTAGGGTGGACAAATGCTTCATTTGGACTCAACCATGATAAACAAACATCAAATAATACTAGCCCTTCTCAATTAGATGATGCAAGCACGCTTCAAGATGCCAATGGTTGCAAGAGTCAAGCCTAAGCTAAGCATAGAGAACTAGTGAGTCATTCACCGCCCTAGTCCCCTCAAGAACGGTCCGCGTTCTCCCCACTAGCTTCAAATCATCCCCCTAGATGGCTCCACATGATTCCACGAAGGAACCGAAAAAAGATTCATTTTGAGGAGGTGAAAGATCATCCCGACATCTCAACTATGCATACTCTCTCCATAGGGTTTAAAGCCATCTCCCTCCACCAGTTATTGACCACGCACCCCTAAAGTCTAAGGGTCTTCATTAGGGTTGTAATGACTCAGATCAAGGTAGAAATTTCACATCATTGTTCCAAACCAACTCTCCACATGATTTATGCTCATATTCAAAATGCTCAATACATTACCCTCACACGCCAAATGCTTCACAAACTAAGAGGGTTGGTAAAACATAGGTCGTTAGGCTTGTAATGCGATTAAGACAAGAATGGGAAACATTAGGCTCAAGTTGGTTGGCAAGTAGTTTGATGCAAAATGGAAAATCAAATTTGTAACTAAATAAAAGAGAACATAAACAAAAATGAAAAATGGTGCCCTTTTCCTCCCCTAAAAGTGCTAGGTCACGATCTCGGGAGCTAGCAATCAACACAAGGATTAAGACACGCATAGTTGAGGATCCTAAAATGCCGCACAACAAATTGATGAAGGCTTGAACAAAAGCAAATGCCAATTAGAAGGCTTCAAATCCACTGCAGGGAGCAACTCCATCTTACCACATTCCATGAACTAAGGGTTCAAACGCCCTTACAATTTCTTACCCTTGCTACCTTAGCTAAGGTTCATCTGATCCAACAAAAGGCAATCTCAAAACGTGCATAACATCATAAAATTAAGAAACGACAAGCATTCTAAGGCGCATCATCAAGGAGATACAGACCAAATGTACAAGCAAATTCCAAAACACAACCATATCATCTTGCCATAATCATGTTTGTCACACAAAAGAAAATGAAAACAGAATAACAGGAGGAAAAAATCAAAGAGGTTCACGCATGAGGCAAGTAAATCCAAATAAATCCCAATCGACATACAAATGATAGTTCGGTATCAATACCAACGATCCCAGGTTCCTTGGAACCATATGCAAAAAACCTCGAACCATTCAACTTCTTCCTAAACTAAATCCTAAACTAAATACACCACAAGAAAGAAAAGAGAAAGTAGAGGAAAGATCTTACCCATACGTCTCTTGAAGAAAAATAAAGCAACCTTACAATTTACCATGTCTCCATATGTTGTTTCCAAATTTCTTCTAAGCTACAAAAGAGAGAGAAAAACAAAATAAGCACTATAGAGAGAAAAATGTTAAAAAGAAATAGAGAGAGAATCTATAAACTCAGATATTTGGGCATAACCAACTACCTAAACACATCATCATCATCATCATAAAAAATAGACATCATCAGCAACCAACAACACAACGCTACCAAGAGCTTACCAACAACACCCAAACCCAAATCCCATAAACGTTCCCATAAGTCCTAGGTGCCTTCCCCCACACTTACCTTAAAACACTCCCTTTTGACTAAAACACCCCCCACACTAGATTAAAGCATCGTCCCTGATGCTGCACATGCACATAGAATGAAAGGGAGGGACCACACAGGAAGGGGGACTATTGGCCATTAGAGTCGGCACCACCGTCATCCGCATTCCAACTATCATAGGAGAAACCCGAGGGGGGGCCATGGGGATCCCAGCCTCCGGTGTAACCGGGAGGCTACCCATAATGGCCCTTGAAAAGGTCTAGTTGGGGTGAGAACAACTAGTCATATGGCTCGGGTTGGACTAGAGGTGAAGGGTGAGAGGGATCAACGTAGGGGTAGTTAGGGTCACCCCGATAATCACTCCCACCCGAAACCCGGTAGTCATAATGACCGGAATCGTCGGGAAAATCAAGTCTTGGCACATTAGGGTCCGAGGGACCCTGCCAATAGGGGTACGTAGGTTGGTTGTCACCCCCCAAGATGGCACGGGCCCTTGTTGGGCCGGCACATAAGGGTAGTTAACTAGGGGAGTGATATCCTCTCTACGTACACTAGCATCATATAAAGCATTAGTTTTGAAAGAATGGTGCTATTGGGAGGCGAATATACCTTACATGCCAAGTTGCATGCTTTCCATTTGAGCCCGCATCGGTAGTCAAATTGTTGTTGATTTTGTTGTTGCTGATGTTGTTGTTGTTGATGTCTTCCTTGCCTTTGTTGAAATTGTTGATGTTGTAGTTGTTGACTTAGAGGGATGACCCTCACCTCATTCTCATCCTCCTCATGACCAAGACCTTCGACGGATCCTTTACCACCTCCATCCTTGCACTTGGGAGGACACTTGAATCCTTCTTTACCCACCAAGGGTGATTAACCCCCTCCCTGGTAAAAGAAGTGAACTCTGGCTTTGGGCGGAAACAATAATGCTCATGGGAGACTAAAAAACTCCAAGTCCTCCCACCGTATCTGCGATGAATTTCATTGTTTTCAATTGCTCAAGATCAAGCCAGATATCACTTCTGTCACTTCTCCCAACGGGAGTGCAAGAATCCAACTTGTCCATATGACCCAATTTCTCGGCCAACTGAGTGATCATCCCATCGAAATGTATCTCCCCTTTCCTTGTACCCGAAAGGACCCCTTCGATGCACTTGGTGAATAGGAACCCGAAATTCACTCTATGCCCCAACTCTGGTTGTGTAGCTAGCCACCAAATTCGGATTTCCTCCGTTGTTATCTTTCACAAGTCTTGTTAATTAAAGACCATGTACCCGAGAATTCGATGTAGAAGTCTGATGGCTGGGTGCATGATTCGGCTTGCCAAGGAATACTTTGAATTGAAGGCGTCCATTCTTGAGATGACCTTCCACCATGAAAGGGGATTATAATCATGAGGGACCTCATGCTTAGGGAAGAACATATTGGCGTCCGGGTTAAGGTCCAATAGTTGGTTAAATTGGCGAAGGGTGAAGGTTTCTTTTTTGTTGAAAAGTTGGAAGGAAATTGCAAGGTTCTTATCCCCCGTGGCATGACATTCAAAAGAGGCAAGGAACTCAAGAGTGGGCTCCTTATAGGTTCGGTAGGCACTTGTGA